GGCCCCCCCCCCCCCCCCCCCGGCCGCGCTTTTCTCGCTCTCTTTCGGCTCCCTTTCGCCGCAAGCTCATGCTCTGCGCAAACCGCAAAAGCATACGCATCTTCGGAAGCTCCACCCATTCCCAGAGCACATATCTGCCAACGATGCCGGGACTTGGCAAAAGTAGATTCGCAAGGATGCAGCGCCATGGTGATCTCTCGGACCGCTTTTCTACAATGCCCCTGCATGCTCCGCCGTCCGCCCCCCTTTGTTGCTAGAGTAGACGGTGGAATTGCGCCGCATCCTTAGCCGAGCTGCAGATCTGCGCTCCTCACTCGCCGGTGTGCGCTGTCATTTCGAAAATCCGCTTTTGCCAGCACCGCCATTCGCCCGTCCCGGCTGCAAATCGGGATGAAGCCAAGGCCAGATCCATCGGATCCCCCCGATCCATCGGCCCTCGCCGTTCCAGTTCCTCTTCTTGGCATGAGTCAAAGGAAGTTGGGCGGGGCTCTGGTCAACGAACTTGAACCGGCTGTGCCTGGTCGGATCGAAGCGCGTGTAGGAGCGCTGGAACATCCCCTCGCCATCCCTGCTTTCTCCAATACTCCGATAGACAGTCGGTTTTCTGGCGCCATATGGCAACGTGAACTGCCACCTCAGACTAGAGGGGAAGAGGCGGTGGCTTGCTGTGCCTGTTCCTCCAGGCCGGAGGTGAATCCGGCCGGAGGGGCTGCCTTCGCCTTGCCTCTGCCCAAGGGCCAGCGGGTAGAAAGCAAAGAGACGGGGCGCAGGCTTTCTCCTCATGGCATGAGTCGAAGGAGACTTGGACGGGCTGTGCCTGGTCGGGTCGAAGCGCGTGTAGGAGCGCTGGAAAGAGCAAGCTGCGCGAACCTGCCTCGCCTTGGCATACTCGACTGGAATGCGGATGCACTGAGCCAGAGTGTGGCCCCCTCGCCCCACAGTCGCCGCTCCATCCAGCCAGTCGAGTCGTACGAGCAGCCAAAACTGCCCCACCACCCCTGCTCGCAACCAAGTCGCCCGTGCCCCACCCAATCCTCAACGCCATACCCCCTCGGCCCCTCACCATCCTGTCCCTTTTCACCGACTCATAATACCCCGCCCCCTTCACAAACCTCCGCTCGCCTCGCCCCCCTCTCGCGCCCCTCTCTCGCCTCGCTCGCTGTACTAGTAAACATGGCAATCTTGGAATTTCATTGGGGTTCGTTAGCATATCTTGATACGAACGACCGTGGCGCACCGCAACCCGCACCCGGCTCGGCACCTTGTCCGCCCCGTGCGCTCGGCGCCGCACCGCACCCGTCGGCGCGCGCGACCACCACCCGACGCGGCAAGCCGTGGGCAAGCCGTGGGCAAGCCGGGGTTTTTTTGGTTCCCGCGCCCGTTCGTCGAGCGTGTTGCTGCCGCGCACGCGCTCGCCTGCGCTCTCGCGCGCTCGCGCGCGCTTAGAAGCACTTGCGGTGCACGATCGAGGGTCCGCTCTCGTCGTACTCCTGCTTCGAGATCCACATCTGCTGGAACGTCGAGAGCGACGCAAGAATCGATCCACCGATCCAAACCGAGTACTTGCGCTCGGGAGGAGCCACAATCTTGACCTTCATCGACGAAGGCGCCAGCGCCGTGATCTCCTTCTGCATGCGGTCCGAGATGCCGGCGTACATGGTGGTACCGCCCGACATGACAATGTTGCCGTACAGGTCCTTGCGGATGTCCAGGTCGCACTTCATGATCGAGTTGTACGTCGTCTCGTGGATACCCGCAGCCTCAAGGCCGAGGAAGGCAGGCTGGAAGAGCACCTCGGGCGTGCGGAAGCGCTCGTTGCCAATCGTGATCACCTGACCGTCGGGCAGCTCGTACGACTTTTCGAGCGCAGACGACTGCGTGGCCGTCAGCATCTCCTGCTCAAAGTCGAGCGCCACGTAGCAGAGCTTCTCCTTGATGTCACGGACGATTTCGCGCTCGGCCGTGGTGGTGAAGGGGTAGCCGCGCTCGGTCAGGATGCGCGCCAGGTATTCGGTCAGGTCGCGACCGGCAAGGTCGAGACGCAGGATCGAGTGGGGCAGCGAGTAACCCTCGTAGATGGGCACAGTGTGCGTCACACCGTCACCCGAGTCGAGCACGATACCCGTGGTACGGCCCGAGGCGTACAGCGAGAGCACGGCCTGGATGGCAACGTAGAAGGCGGGCGCGTTGAACGTCTCAAAGAGGATCTGCGTCATCTTCTCGCGGTTGGCCTTGGGGTTGAGCGGGGCCTCGGTGAGCAGCACGGGGTGCTCCTCGGGTGCGACACGCAGCTCGTTGTAGAAGGTGTGGTGCCAGATCTTCTCCATGTCGTCCCAGTTGGTCACGATACCGTGCTCGATGGGGTACTTGAGCGTGAGGATACCACGCTTCGACTGCGCCTCGTCACCGACGTACGAGTCCTTCTGGCCCATGCCGACCATCACACCCTGGTGACGGGGGCGACCGACGACCGAGGGGAAGACGGCGCGGGGAGCGTCGTCACCGGCGAAACCGGCCTTGCACATGCCGGAACCATTGTCGATAACGAGCTGTGGGAAAGTTCAGGAACGAGTCAAGATGCAAGTCAGCGAAATGCGCCCAAAGCAGCGTGTGCACGTGGCACTCAGCTTTCGTCACCGAACTGCGCCTTGCAGCGCCAATGCCGGAGCCTTCAGACGTGAAATGGGGAACCACTTACAGCAGCGACTTCGTCTGATGAAGGTGAAATCCAGCGCGCAATTTGCAAAAGCAGGCAAAAAAGGCACAAGAGGAGCGGGGTCAGTTTGAGAACATTTGGTTAGGAGGAACCAGCCGGCGTTGTGCCACTACTGGCGTAGGTGCAGCCAAGTTGGGGCAGGCGGACCCGTCGCATCGCAAGTGCGATCCGATCAAGGAGCGGACACTGCCGCATCAACTCCTCTGAAGGTCGGATTGTACGCAAGTGCATACGGCCGCTCGCCAGCTTGATCTGCAATCCCGAGCACAAAGCTGAGCTGGAAGCAAAGTGCTGGAAAGCAGTAGCTTCGCACCGCGTCGAGCGGCGCCCGCCGGATGTCATCGAAGCTGCGCAGGTGTCGCCGGCGAAGGTAGACTGGATGCATCCGGCCAGCGTGGCCGCCGAATCCGAAGCATGGCAGCGACGATCCCGACGCGATCTGACGAGCCGGCGCAATGGCCGCGAGAGGGGGACTGCTTGCTATCCATCCACGCCGGCAGCCTTTGCGAGCGAAGAAGGCTCCTTGGTGGGTGGGTGGGTGGTTGCAACGGGCCGAAGAGGATGGCGTGCGGAGTGGAATATACTCACCCTCCATTTTGGCTAGTGTGGGGCTGTTGGTGTGAAGGGTGAAGAAAAGGGTGCGTTGGAGAGGGTAGCGTAAAGCTGTATAAGATGGAGGAGCAGGGGGAAAAGGGAAGACGATGTCGATGCGCCAACGATAGGCGGACAGGAGACGGGGGGCGGGCGAGCAGAGAGAGAGACAGACAGACAGACAGACAGACAGAACAGACAGACAGGGGCGAGGCCGAGCGTGCGCCGCACCGCACACCGCCAAGGCAGGCGAGGCGAGAGAGAAAGGGACTCAGCTGCGGCCAGCACAGGCCAGCCACGGAGCAGCACTGGCAGTGCAGGCGGCGGTGCAGGCGGTGCAGCTCGGATCACTCACTCTCTCTTCCTCTCCCTCTCTCTCTCTCTGACGGGCGATGCGGTGGGGACGTGGCGGCGCTTACTCTGCCGAACTTCCAAGAGGGTGGCCCCGGCGACGGGTGCAGTGCCCTGTGCGGTGCTCGTCGCATCCTTCCTTCCAGCCGGTCACATCGGCTGGCTGCTGCACGCGTGTGCTGGCGTGGGTTCGTGCGTGGATGCCAGTTGCACCGCCATGCGCTGCCCCTAAAAGCAAAGGCGAGCTGTCGACGCTCGATTGGCGCCGTTTGAAATTCCCAAATCCTGCCGCCGTGGAGAAATCGCCTTTCGAGTAATCACACGCGCTTGCGTCTGCAGTGCGCCCAATTCAAATGTGGCATGTGGGATGTTGAGCGGTTCAAAGTGCAGCATTACAAAACATGCACGCCGCGGGGGGGAAACCGAGAGAGAGACAGCGCGCGAGGTTCTTCTCAACCCTGGCCTGTGCGTC